ACCCACCGGGGATGGTGGGGGGTTCTACACTGTCCTGTAGGATCTCTGTGAGTCGGCAATGAGCTTGGTTTGGCTTTTGGCTACTTGCAGATGGAAATAAATCCTGGGTGATAAAATATCCCTGTGACAATCATATCGAACGTTTTGGATCGTGGCACATTTTGCTTGTGATTAGGGGCTGCCATAGGCCCTGACCCGGCACGCCTATGCACGACAGCCCCTGCCTGGTCCTGAGCCATCCTTACTGCCACTGCTGTGTGTCCCCATTGTTGCAGTCGCTGTTATCAATCCACTGTTGAGGCTTTTCCTCTTTTTTGCCGATCCTCTACCTAGCTCTTCTCTGGGATTGGTCTCTCCCAATGACGTGTTTCAAGCACTCGGGGTGAAGCTTGCCATTCTTCTGCCAAGACAGATCTGTTCCTTCTTTTGGTCGTCCATCCTGTAGTTAGTCTTCACAAACACCATAATTTTCAGGCAGCCATTACCCCCACCCCCGCACCCCCATCTTCCTTCAGTAGCCCAGGGTAGAAGTAGGATAAAGGACTGTAGATCCCAACACACCACATTTATTGAACACCTCGCTGGGAGCACAGTCATGGCTGGCTTCCCTAACACTCCTGTGACCCCATCACTCACAGGCGGGCACCACTTACACGGGTTCGCTCATAAACAAGAAGTGACACCGTCCAGTCTGAGTAGCGCTTACGCTCAACTTCGCAATTCAGGGGTCACATGACCTACTCTTGTTCAGTAAGGAAGCTTTGTAGGTTGGAAGAGAGATGTCCTTTATCCGTTTGCACACGTGAGGCAGGGCCCTCTAGCCCCTGCTGTGGGCAGTCCTGCAGGAAAAGGAGGGCGAGGTTGAGATCGAGCTGAGTCCCCGGAGGTGGAGGGGAGAGGTGGAAAACCATGGCTGCTGTTGAGACTTGGGCGGTGGGGCTTGACCGTCACCTCCATGTCTTCTCAGTGCTGTGAGCCAGGAACTGCCCTTGAATAAGCCAGTGAGATTTGGGCTTTTTCTCACAACTGAAAGCACCCTAGCTGACAGGCTGTGCGAGGAACTGTGGGGAGCACTCTGCGTATGCCTGCATTAGCAATTAAAATAGGGTCTCCAACACATTTATCTAGTAAATCATTACTAGAAAATGATAGGATAGAAATGCTGATTAAAATACAGATTATCACTAATATAAGGACACAAAATAATTTAGAAAAACTGATGAGAAAAAACTCCCCTGCAACTTATAATTGAGCAACTAACGACTGTGTGGCAAAACAACCTTTTAACTGACTTTTCTGCAATTAAAAATTATTTTATTAGGGGCTCTTACTGATCTTATAACATTCATCAATTGTATCAAGCATATT